ACAGATTGCTGGTTGATCCATGATTCCTTGGGTCCCGGGATCTATTGGCTGCTTCCCTCTCCTCATAGTCCATATAAGCCCTAGCCTTTTCGAGGAGAGCATCGAATATTCGCGGTAGTTCGATGCTAACGACCTTTCTAAACTCCATGCCCGAGAGGAGTCCCCTCTCGAGCAGGTATCTCTTCATATGATCGGTGTAGTGGACCTGAATGACCTCACGGTTGAACCGATCAATAAACTCCTTAAGGGTCTCGCCGTTTCTTTGGATGATGGCCTCGAGGGCTACCTGAGTCTTCGGATGTCGATGTGAGGAAGTGAATGAACGTATGAACTGGTTTTTTAAATTTCTCCAGGAGGTAACTGACCCGGGGCTAGGCTCTTATACCAGTCCATTGCAGTCTTTCTCAAAGTCGTGGGGAACAATCGACATTTAATCGGTCCCCCGATGTTATGATAATGCAGCATTGCCTCGAACCCGTCGATATGGTCGACTGGATCGACAATGCCGTCGTACTCCTTCAGATGGGGAGGTTTCTCCATACCCGGGGGAAAGGGTACCTCCATAATAGCCTAGGATATGGGACCGTGGGGGTCATCTTCGTCGCTTTTGTCTGGAGATCGAGAAGCTGACCTGTTGTAATGGCGGTCGTGATGGCGGCCCTGGTCGCACGAAGGATCCCTCGGGTGGTGTTGTTGTTCGTCATTTCCCTTATTTCTGTTTCCCGGGGGTCTTTGCTCTTGACGCAAGGGTTGTGATCACGTCTCCCCGTATCCACGGGCTGATCCCTCTCCAACGCGTGGCGTCGCTCGGTTTGTCGGACAGAGGGGCTTCGAGAGGCATCCCATTTAGGTCTCCACGGGGGAGATTGGGGACAATCCTCTATCTGACAGGAAGGAGGAGAATCAGACCTCTTGTGTCTTCTGAGGGCTCTTCGAGAATTTTCGAGCACCCTTAATATCTCACCTTGTGAGAATATCAAGTAGTTTGTTTGATTTATAGTTGCGAACAATGTCCTGGTCGTGGCATCAACGCACGCAGAAAATGGGACCTCCTGGAACTAGTTCAGTTAGTAGTTCTGAGGAGGATGACGATCGTCCTCGAGTCGTCAGGACAGTGATAACGATGAGGCGGTCAGTCCGTCTCTATATTCTAAGGGGACGAGCATGTCAACAGCATGGCCGTTGTTGTTATTGTTACCGGTGTTGAGGCCAGCGAGACCAGCGTTGTTGATATCGGTGTTATGGTCGGAGATGTTGTTGTTGACATCAGCGCGATAGACATTCAAGTTATTTTCTTCCATGAGATCAGCCATGACAGTCAAAAAGGAGTTGGATTATCTTTTGTATTGGATGAATGAAAGATGGGGAAGTTGTGTTTCCCACAGACGGTGCCACTGATCGTATCTGACCAGAATGGACTGTCACAACTTATGTCGAGCAGAACTTGAGAGTGAGGTGGGGGGAGGGTATCTGCAAGACACTCCGATATGAAAGAGAGATTCAGAAGGATCTAACAAGTAAGAGAGTGAGAAAATGTTCAATACCTGACACTCTCGAAAGAGAGGGTATTTATAACCCCCAGCGCTGGGCCAAGGTCCCTATTTTTGGGCAATGTTGATGCCCAATAATGGAGACTTCCAAGGCTTACGTGTGTATGGAGTCCAGCAAGTGGACTCCCCCCCGGTTAACTACTCCGTGAGAATATGGGTTGGATCTGTGATTTCTGGAGGGCAGTTAAGATGACGGTGATGTAGGGACGTGGGCCACGTTTCCCAACGAATGTGTGGGGAGTTACCCAACGGTCCCTAGCTTGGGCTACTTGCTTTTGGGTCTTATACAAAAGTGTTGGATTGGACCTCCCAATCGGGAGACAAGTGCAGGCTCAGTCCAGATTAATATTAAACTCTAACATCTCTCTTTTCTACATGCAGAGAACTCATCCTTATATACTTCTTTGAACTTAAAGGTAATCAAGTTCAAACACGGTGAACATAAAGCTTTATTTGTATTCTTCTTCTTCATAAGATTTCTTCTATTTTTCTCAAAAGAAAACCCTAACATTTGTCCCTTCCACGCAGGGAACTCGTCTCATAAGCTTCTTAAAACTTATAGGTAATCAACTTCTCCCATTTTCCATAGTTATTGTTAAAAAGGATTTTTTTTTTCATTTGGCATGATATTCTCGTTTTTTTCATTTGGTGAATATTCCATGTAATGATGTTAATGTCACGGTGTTTATGTTTTTTTTACTTATGAATGAAGAAAACCATCTTGACAAAGTTGATACTTTGGATATGGTTTACATATAGTTTGTGTTTCTATAAAAAAATACAAAAAAGTATGAAGCTATTGTGTAAACTTCATCCACCTTGTAATTTTTTATCATAGAGACATAAATAGATAAACTTCATCATTAATTTTACGAATCTTTTTCAATAAAAAGGTATGTTCGTGAAATATTTAATTATAACTTGTATTGTTGTATGTTGTTAGTATTTTGTTGATAAAAGATATGTTTTTGTATTGTTCATAAATTTTGTTGTTGTTGATTAATATTCTCAAAACAAAAACTAAATATTGGTAAGTCACAAGAAAAAGGCTCCTTCTGACTTAGCAATGTTTTGTTCTTTAATTTTTTATGCAGATTGACAAGAGATCAAGTTGAATTTACTATATTCTTTGTAGATTGTTTCTTTCGCTAACCCTTCACTAAAAATACATTCATTTAAATTGATTTAGAAACTTATAATCTAAAAATTAAGACTAACTTATATCAATCAATGTTTTTCAAACTACATACGTCTCATGATTCATCTCACGCTCATTAACATAGAATATCGTTCAATGACCTAAGTTCACCACGACATTGATTCCTTCTCTTATAGTTTATTTTAATTAACATCAATTTATTGGCTAAGTCTAGCTCATCATCGTCACTTATCATCATGATTGTTACAATGATAAGTCATCGTGACAATCATCATTATAGTGACGATGATGAGACAGACTTAACCAATAAATTGATGTTATTCAAAATAAACTAGAAGTGGAGGAATCGATGCCATGAAGGACTTGGGCCATTGAACCATATTCTAAATGTTAAAGAGTAAGATATGAGTTGTGACACACATACAATTTGAAAAATAGTGGTTTGTTTAAGTTGTTTTTCAAAAATAGTTTAATTTTTAAATTATGTACTTCTTCATCAACTTGAATGGTTGTATTTGTTAAGTGAAGTGTATGGAAAAATAAGCAACTTACATATTATATAATAAATTCAGGATATTTTCCACAACGGTTATTTATTATAACTGCGATGAAATGTTAATTATATTCTAAATAAATTGTTGTTGTTGGGTTTTAAACCCATTACCTAAATATATATCACAACAGTTGATAAGTGTAACTATTGTGCTAGATAGCGCATCATGCCTTGTTATCAAATTCTTGCGAACATGGTTGAGAAGCATCAGACTTACAATTACTCCTTATCTCACAACGGTTGGTCAGACATTGTGGTGTCGTTTTTCAAACTATTGTGGTATAACAATTTCTTAATAGTGTTTTCAAGGACTCTTTAATCAAATCAAATAACTCATTTAAAATCTATATGTATATCTAAATAAAATTTATGCTATATATCTTTCCACTCACCATCTCATTCGTTTCTCAACTTTCAACTTTCATTTTCTTTTATATATCTTTCTTTATACATTTTCTTATTTTATCTTTTATACCTTTCATTTTCTTTTATATATCTTTCTTTATACATTTTCTTATTTTATCTTTTATACTTTTGCTATACTTACTAATTTATTTTATTTTCCGAATCTATTAACAATACAAATGAATATAACATAAAAATGTATAAAAATAAAATAAAAGAAGAAGGTTAAATACAAACAAATATTTTACACTTTTATAGTTATAATTTATTTTTGTTTTTTAGATTTATCGACAATTTAAATGAAGAAAAATAAAACACATATAAACTTAGATAAGTATAAAAAAACACATGTGAGTAAAAACAAATGAAACCAGTTTGTAAAAGAAATCACAAAAATTTAAATATAGTTAAATTTAAGTTTTTGTTAAAGTATGTTATTGTTTTCATTATACTTGTAAAACAAAGACATATTTTCTTTTTCTTTTTTTTAAATATTATAATGGACATGTAGTAGACAAAATAATAGTATATAAGTTTTTTAAAATTATCAATGAAAGAATATCTTTTTACAATTTTTAAACATATTAGAAATTATTTTACATTTTACAATTCATTTTTAAATTTTAATAAATCAAAAATTTATTTTATTAAATTTGATAATATGCAGTAGTCGGACAAACAAATAACTTTTTATTTTACTGTTTACTATTAGTAAAATATTTACTTTGTTTTAATTAATACTTTCTTTTATTTAATACCCAAAATTTTTATTTTTTTAAATTTTAAATTTTTTATTTTTTTCCTTTGTCACTTTCACGGACCTTTTTTTTATATGATTATTAAATAAAATTAAATGGGCCCTTTTCAATTTTTTTCTTTCTCATTTTTTTTCTAAAAAAAGATTTTTTTGTAATTATAACAATTTTTATATTAACCGTGATAATATCTCATTTATGCGTGTTTATATTTTTTAACTACAGATTACTCAACCATAATAATATATTAAAGTTTATTTTCTTTGATCTTAAAGACCATGATTTTTTCCTTTTTTTCATTAGAAAAAAGGATTGTGAAATATATATTTTAAATATATTATAAATAAATTTATTTACCATAACGATTAATTATTAAAATTATTGTAAATAATTCTTATTTATTATCGCAATTTTTGTTAATAGTAGTAATATTTTTTACATAGGAATAGAAGAATGTATCTAATGCGCGATAAATAAATTAAACAACTAAAATATTAAAAACAAAATCAAAGAACCAATATAAAATTCACAATTTATTTATTCCAAATTAACAATCTGATAATTGGTGCATCATAAAATTAAAGAGACAAAAGCTTCTTTTCTTTGGCAGATGGTGGACAAATAGCGGTACATGAGCAAGTGGCTATCGTAAATGAAACACTACAAACGCAATTTTGAGGATAGAAACCAGTTTGTCTTAGAAAATCTCTACGGCAGAATAACGGATCTTTACAGTCTGGGGCCAACGACGATCCGTAAGCACACACTTTCTCTCCTGTCAAATTATAACAATAATATCCGATTAACAATGTTTAATAAAAAGATAAAAGTAAATATTAATAATACTAATAATAATAACTTGGATTAGATATACCATAGCTCTGGTTAAAAAGAGCAAACAAAGCCACCACCATTAGGACAATGATTCCTCTCTTCATCATAATTTTCTTATATCAAAACTAAACAACAATTCTAAAACTCTTCGCACAATGTTAAATAACAAAAGACTAATATATATATATATATATATATATATATATATATATATATATATATATATATATATATATATATATATATATATTTCTATAGAAATATGTATATATATTTCTATACATATATATACATATATATATTTCTATATATATATATAAATATATATATTTCTATATATATGCATATATATATTTCTATATATAAATAAATATATATATTTCTATATATATATATAAATATATATATATTTCTATATATATATTTCTATATATATATATATATATATATATATATATATATATATATATATATATATATATATATATATAAATTTTTGATAGCTCAAGAGGAAGAGGAGGAACCGGGTCAGGTTATACTATTGAATGTTTCAGGTGTCACAAGCTGGGACACTTCCAATATGAGTGTCCAAGTATGAGAAGGGAAGTAAACTATGTTGAATTTGATGATAGTGATGAGTTACTCTTGATGACACTAGCAGAAGTTGAAGGTGATGGAAATAGGGGAGTTTGGTTTCTTAATTATGGTTGTCCAAACCACATGACAAGTAATAAAGGTTGGTTTTGTGAAATAAATGAAAGCTTCAGGCACACTGTAAAATTGGGAAATAATTTAAAGTTGGTAGTTATGGGAAAAGGAAATATCTGATTTGAAGTTGAGGGCACAACTCAATTGATATCTGATGTTTTCTATGTTCCAGAATTATCCAACAACCTTCTAAGCATTGGACAACTACAAGAGAAGGGGGTAGACATTCTTATTAAAGGAGAGATGTGTAAAGTTTACCACCCTCAAAGAGGCCTAATCATGAACACCAGAATGACTGCGAATCGACTGTTCATTGTGTATGCACTTAGGAAACCTCTCTCGAGCAAGTGCATGAAGGTATAAGAAGGGGAAGTTGTAAACTTGTGGCACAAGCGCTATGGACATTTAAACAAAAAGCCATTCACACCATGCAATATAAAGGAATGGTCAAAGGGATACCACAACTCAAAAGTGCATACGGGGTATGTGAAGTTTGTAACATTTGGAAGCAACATCGAGAGATTATATCAAAAAGGAGAAAGTGGAGAGCCTCAGAACAACTCCAACTAGTTCATGCAGATTTATGTGGTCCTATATCCCCTATATCTCATAGTAGTAAAAGGTACATGCAGATTTATGTGGTTCTTATTGATGATTTTTCTCGCAAAACTTGGATATACTTTCATATAGAAAAAAGTGAAACTTTTCACATGTTTAAAAGGTTCAAAAGTTGTGTCGAAAAAGAAATAGGAAAGTATATATGTTGTTTAAGGACAAACAGGGAAGGAGAATTCACCTAAAACTCCTTCAACCAATTCTGCGAGGAACATGGGATTAGACGACAATTAACCGCTGCCTACACTCCACAACAAAATGGAGTAGCTGAAAGAAGAAATCGCACCATAATGAATATGGTTCGATGTTTGCTTACAGAGAAAGAAAATGCTAAAGAAATTTTGGCCTGAAGCTGCAAGATCGACATCACATGTGCTAAATAGAAGTCTCACAAGTGCTGTAAATGACATGGTTCCAGAAGAGTGTTGGAATGGGGTCAAACCAAGTGTTGATCATTTTAGGGAAACAGTTGCATTGGTCATGTATACATCCCTGAACAACATAAGGTAAAACTTGATAATAAAAGTTACAAATGCATTATGCTTGGGATCAACAAGGAATCAAAGGCGTATCGACTATTTGATCCAATATCAAATAAAATAGTCATAAGTCGAGATGTAATATTCGAAGAGGAGGGGAAATGAGACTGGAAAACAACTGAAATCGAGTCAAAATCTGATATTCTGGGCTGGAATGATGAAGGAAGAACAACTCAGGAAGAACACAAAGAAGAGGTGGAGGTTGACCGCAAAGAACAACAAGAACAACCTGCAACAGGTGAGCCTGATTATGAAAATTCTGATGCACCAGATTTTGGAAATTTAAATGATCCAGAAATGCCTCAAAGAAGAAATAGAAGAAGACCCGCGTGGATGCATGACTATGAGAGTGGAGCAGAATTTTTGGATGAAAAAATTGGCGCATGTATGGTGATGTTTTATTATCATAATGATCCTCCAAATTTTGTAGAAGCATCCAAAGAATAAAAATGGATGGAGGAAATGAAACGTGAACTACAAGCTATTGAGAAGAACAATACTTTGGAGTTTGTGGTTTTACCGGCTCGATCAAACACTATAGAGGTCAAATGGATTTTCAAAACAAAACTAAATGAGGATGGACAGGTTGATAAATACAAGACGAGGCTGGTTGTAAAAGGATATTCTCAAAAGGAAGGGATCAATTATGATGAAGTTTTTACTCCAGTGGCTCGATGGGACACTATAAGAATTATGCTCGATGTTGCTACACAAAAGGATGGACAATATATCAGTTGGACGTAAAGAGTGCTTTCTTATTCGGGGAGCTAAAGGAAGTTGTGTATGTGGATCAACTAGAAGGATTTGTCAAGAAAGGTGAGGAAGATAAAGTTTATTGACTTAACAAAGCTATTTACGGCCTAAAACAGGCTTCTAGAGTATGGTTTAGTCGAATTGAGAGTTATTTCAGGCATAAGGGGTTTGATAAAAGCAACCATGATCACACTTTATTCAGTAAGAGTGTCGGTGAAAAGTTGCTTATGGTAAGCCTTTATGTAGATGAATTAATTTTTGTTGGGGATAATGATGTGATGTGTGAAGAGTTTAAGCAATCAATGAAAAAAGAATTTGAGAAGACTGATCTAGGGAGGATGAGTTTCTTTCTTGGTGTTGAAGTATGTCAAAGCTTGAAAGGAATCTATCTATGTCAGAAGAAGTATGCTAAGGAAGTGCTTGAAAGATTCATAATGTGGAACTACAATCCGGTCAAAAATCCTATAGTACCAGGGACCAAACTCTCAAATGAAGAAGAATGCAAAGTTGTGGATGCTACTACATACAAGCAACTTGTGGGCTCTCTTATGTATTTAACAGTGACCAGGCCTGATATGATGTATGTGGTATGTTTAATATCTCGTTTCATGGCCAAACCTAGAGAAGATCATATGAAGATTGCTAAGAGGGCTTTAACGTACTTAAGGGGAACTCTGTATTTTGGTCTCTTATATAAGCGGGAATCTGACTCAATACCAAAGGTATATACTGATAGTGATTATGTCGGAGATATAGACGACGGGAAGATCACACCAGGATATGTATTTCTACTAAGTAAAACAGCTGTGTGTTGGAGTTCACGAAAACAAGTTATAGTCACTTTATCCTCGACCGAAGCTGAGTATGTAGCTGCAACATCTTGTGCTTGCCGCTGTGTTTGGGTAAAAGGAATTCTTCAACAGTTTAGCACCAAGCCTTGTCAGTGCTTCGAGAATTTGTGTGGCTATAGTTCCTCCATTAAAATCTCAAAAAATCCAGTGATGCATAAGAGGACAAAACATATAGATGTGAGGTATCATTGTTTACGTGATCTTACGAGTCAAGAAGTTGTGAAGCTAGTGTTTTGTGGGACTGAAGAGAAAGTGACAGATATCATGGCTAAACCAGTAAAATTGGAGACATTTGTTAAGCTAAGAAGCTTGCTTGGGATACAAGCTCGAGAAGATTAAACTGGATGATTGATTAGCATTTCCAATTTAAAGGGAGGAATTGTTGGATCTGATGCGTTATTGTACTAGCTACAATTTAGGATTTCTGTTAGTGGTTTGAATTAACCTAGTGTTTTTAGAAGGTGTTGAGCACATTCTACTTTAGTGGATTAGTAGGAGTTTGTTTCAGTCTTTTTCTCTATGTTCTGTTCCTATTTTTGTGCAATTATTTTTGCTATATTAGTTTTCATTTTGTAGGCTATTTAAGCCATGTTTCAATATTCAATAATATAGTGATTTACAGAAGCATACCTTAATGTTTCTGTTTTAACAGGAAATTCTCTTGGAAAGGGCTTTCCTCATGAATGTGGGAGACAAGTATATTATAGGGAAAATATGGAGATTCAAGAGACCCGACTTCGGGAAAATCAAGAGAGTCGTGAATTGAATTCGAGGATGGTTAATTCTGGTTTGGGATCTCATGTGTTTTACAAACCAGTTAAGGTGGTTCCAAGTTGATGGCTATGGACTTGAAGATGAAATTTGTGAAAACTTGGAGCTTGGTTTAAGTTTGCGTGTTGATAAATTGAACACTGTTGGAAACTCACCAAATATCTATGATGAATTTCTACACAATGACAATGAATTATGAGAATGAAAAGAAAAGAAAGAAGACAATTATTTTCTGCAGAGTTTTTCTCTGCCCACAAACTGTGGAAAACTTTGTTATTCACTTGCAACTGAAAATTCTGTGAATACAACTTAATTGACTTAATTACAAAATAGGGGTTACTACCTCTATTTATAGATTTATCTTGCACCCTAAGCCCAAAACTATAAAAGCCCAAAATACCTATTTTGGTACTAAATCAAATCTTTTCTATTTTAGATCTAAAAAAAATATATAAATCTAAAACAAATCAAATCTGTGTGTAGCTTGCTTCGACCCACAAGCTCTTCGACTGGGCAACCTCCCTTCGACACACACACACACACACACACACACACACACACACACACATACACACACTATTTCGACATAATCGAATTATAATTTAAGACACCACCTAATTCATTGTGTCTAAACTATCTATATTCATTATGGCTCTTAGCCTTCTGAATACTTCGACTTGCACTCCCTTTGTCATGATGTCTGCAATCTGATTCTCAATTCTGTAGTGTTCCAAATTTATATTCCCATATGCTACATGCTCTCGAATATAATGGAACCTCATTTCAATGTGCTTACTTCGACCATGTGCTGTTGGGTTCTTCGCCAGATTAATAGCTGACATG